GGCTGAAGGCTTCTCTGTGTAAAAGCTTTTGCGTGTAAAAGTTGCTGTGTGTAAAAACCACTTTGTGTAAAGACTTCTTTGTGTAAAAGCTTCTGTGTGTGAAAGCTTCTCTGTGTGAAAGCGCGCCTGTGTAAAGATTTCACTGTGTAAAATTCTCTGTGTAAAGGCTTCTCTGTGTAAAAGATTCTGTGTGTAAACGCGTCTGTGAATGAAAGCTATATATCTGTGTAAAGACTTCTTCGTGGAACAGCTTCTGTGTGCAAAGGCTCCTAGACGTTTGTGTGCAAAAGCTCCTTAGAGTAAAGACTTCTCTGTGTAAAACCTTGCGGCCAAGTTTGGGCAAAAACGGCCGTTTCCCAATGATCCCAGAAGAGAAATTCAATAGCCGGCCGAGGTGCCGCCAAATGGCAGAAATTTGCTTCCAAAAGGCTCCCGGCCAGGATTTGGCCAAAAACGGCCGTTTCCCAATGATCCCAGAAGAGAAATTCAATAGCCGGCCGAGGGGCCGCCAAATGGCAGAAATTTGTTTCCAAAAGGCTCCCGGCCAGGATTTGGGCAAAAACGGCCGTTTCCCAATGATCCCAGAAGAGAAATTCAATAGCCGGCCGAGGGACCGCCAAATGGCAAAAATTTGCTTCCAAAAGGCCCCCGGCCAGGATTTGGGCAAAAACGGCCGTTTCCCAATGATCCCAGAAGAGAAATTCAATAGCCGGCCGAGGGGGCCGCCAAATGGCAGAAATTTGCTTCCAAAAGGCTCCCGGCCAGGATTTGGGCAAAAACGGCCGTTTCCCAAGGATCCCAGAAGAGAAATTCAATAGCCGGCCGAGGGACCGCCAAATGGCAGAAATTTGCTTCCAAAAGGCTCCCGGCCAGGATTTGGCCAAAAACGGCCGTTTCCCAATGATCCCAGAAGAGAAATTCAATAGCCGGCCGAGGGGCCGCCAAAAGGCCGAAATTTGCTTCCAAAAGGCTCCCGTGTGTAAAAAGCTCCTTTGTGTATAGACTTCTCTGTGTAAAAGCCCCTGTGTGTGTAAAAGCCTGCTGTGTGTAAATGCTTTTGTGTGTAAAAACTCCTCTGTGTAAAGGCTTCTCTGTGTAAAAGCTTCTGTGTGCAAATGCGTCTGTGTGTAAAAACCCCTCTGTGTAAAGACGTTTTCGAGTAAAAAGTTCTGTGTGAAAAAGCTCCTAGACGTTTGTGTGCAAAAGCTCCTTGGAGTAAAGATTTCTCTGTGTAAAACCTTCTGTGTGTAAAAAGCTCCTTTGTGTAAGGACTTCTCTGTGTAAAAGCCCCTGTGTGTGTAAAAGCTTGCTGTGTGTAAACGCTTTTGTGTGTAAAAGCTCCTCTGTGTGAAGGCTTCTCTGTGTAAAAGCTTCTGTGTGCAAACGCGTCTGTGTGTAAAAAGCCCTTAGAGTAAAGACTTCTCTGTGTAAAAGCTTCCGTGTGTAAAAAGCTCCTTTGTGTAAAGACTTCTCTGTGTAAAAGCCCCTGTGTGTGTAAAAGCTTGCTGTGTGCAAATGCTTTTGTGTAAAAGCTCCTCTGTGTAAAGGCTTCTCTGTGTCAAAGCTTCTGTGTGCAAATGCGTCTGTGTGTAAAAACCCCTCTGTGTAAAGACTTCTTGGCGTAAAAACTTCTGTGTGAAAAAGCACCTAGATATTTGTGTGCAAAAGCTCCCTAGAGTAAAGACTTCTCTGTGTAAAACTTTCTGTGTGTAAAAAGCTCCTTTGTGTAAAGACTTCTCTGTGTAAAAGCCCCTGTGTGTGTAAAAGCCTGCTGTGTGTAAATGCTTTTGTGTGTAAAAGCTCCTCTGTGTGAAGGCTTCTCTGTGTAAAATAAGCTTCTGTGTGCAAACGCGTCTGTGTGTAAAAACCCCTCTGTGTAAAGACTTCTTCGTGTAAAAGCTTCTGTGTGTAAAGGCTCCTAGACGTTTGTGTGCAAAAGCTCCTTAGAGTAAAGACTTCGCTGTGTAAAACCTTCTGTGCGTAAAAAGCTCCTTTGTGTAAAGACTTCTCTGTGTAAAAGCCCCTGTGTGTGTAAAAGCTTCTGTGCGACTCCTCCCTCCAGCTTTCTTTCGGGTCACGCTGTCGTCCAGTTTCAATCTGCAACATTGTTTCCAGTTTCAATCTGCAACATTGTTTCTTGTGGAAGAAGGCAAAGAACAGGTGAAAGCATCGCAGTTTTAAAAAATTGAACATAAACAGCGCACAAAGTGTTGTAATTTACAGCATTTTGCGCTGTCAGATGGCAAGAACCCGCGTAAATACCACAGTTTTAGTCCCCGAAAGTGGCTAAAACACTGTTATTTACAGGGTTTCGTTCACGTCACGATCTTCGATTTTTTGGGAAACGCGTAAATACCAGCGTTTTTTCCGTTCATCAAGGCAAAAAATCGGTTCAGAAAGGGAAGAAAATGCTGTAATTTACAGGGGTTTGGCGCCGCCACGGGCAAAAAACTGCGTAAATACTAGCGTTTCGGCGTCCAAAAGTGGCCAAAACACCGCTATTTACAGTGTTTCGTGCCTTCCACGTTTTCTTGAAATTGCAAAAACACTGTGAATACCAGCAGTTTTTGCGATCAACACGCCAAAAATGCTGTAATTTACAGTGTTTTTTTGCTTGGCTTTCAAAAACACTGGTATTTGCGGTGTTTTGTGCATCTTGGGTCCAAAAAGTATTGGTATTTATAGCATTTTCTGCGTTTTTGCATGGCTCCCGCAAAAGATGTTAAAACGCAAAAATGCTGTAATTTACAGCATTTTGTGACTTTCGAAAAGCGAAAAATCGTCCGAAAAATGTGTCAAAACGGCGCTTTTTTCCGATTTTAGGTACCCTCAAAACGGGGGGGGGAATGCTCTTGGAGACGCTTATGAGCGACCCGGATCCCGGCCAAAAAGCTCTCCCCCACCCTCCTGAAGGATTTTTGGTGTTTTTCGGGGCCCGGCGTCGGAGGGTCGGCGGTTGGGGGCGCGCCTCACCTTAGAGCTCTAGTCGCTCTGGGACGCTCGTAGGGCAAGCCACTCGTGGGGAGCCGGCGGAGCCGAATTTTTGGTGTTTTTCGGGGCCCGGCGTCGGAGGGTCGGCGGTTGGGGGCGCGCCTCACCTTAGAGCTCTAGTCGCTCTGGGACGCTCGTAGGGCAAGCCACTCGTGGGGAGCCGGCGGAGCCGAATTTCAGGGCACTTGGCCATCTAAAGCACTGTGCTTGGGAAACCTTGGTTCACCATTTGGGAATTTCTGACCCCATAGCCCCATACCTCCAGTTCCCTCATCACTGGGATGAGGTCTCCTTGTGTAAAGTCAGGCTGCAACTGGGACTGTCAAAACACGGCGTCCAAACCTCCTTGGCCCCTTTTACACTGACAGAATGTAGAGAAGCATGTTTATCCACAAACCAAATGGCTTGGTTAATCCTTTTCTTTTCCGAGAAATGACCTCACCATTCTCACCATCCCCACGCTGTGAGCATCCTTTCTTCGCGCGGTGGGTCAATTTCGATGTAGATGATGATGCCAAACGACTGAAGAGACTGGTGGATTTTGTTCAACCAACTTTAAAGTTTTAAAGTATCCAAAGTTGGGGACTCATTGCAAGTACATCGGCACAACTTCGTTCAGTGATCTTCAATGATGTTCAGTGAACAAATTGGACTTGCCATGCCTGATATTTGATTCGCTGTGCTTTACTCCACATCCTGGGCTTTTTGCCCCGTGCAGCGCCCGGGGAGCCACCTCTACGAAATCACACCACAGACAGACAGCCACCACAGACAGATCGATTTCGTCGAAATCGCTGTCTGTCTGTGGTGGCTGTCTGTCTGTGGTGCCACGTGGCGCCACCCTCACCAAGTGATATGTAGAGACTGGTCACCTCCGCAGGACAAGGGTCATCCATTTGATGCTTTGGTGGTTTCAACCCCTCTGAAAAACATTAGTCAGTTGGGGTTATTATTCCCAATATATGGAAAAATAAAAAATGTTCCAAACCACCAACCAGATTTGATGCTTTGTACCTAAATATATATACTATATATATATCATAAATATATAAATATATACATGTATATATATATATAATTAGATATTATATGTATATATATATATAATAGATCTAGATAAATGTCTCCAGGTATAAGCGGAATTGCACCCCCCCTGGTAAAACCCGAATAATCTACCAATTGGTATTTTGGGCATTTCCTTTTTAGGGCAAACCGTGACGAACCCCGGGCCACTGGGGCCCCGGCCGAATTGTGCGGCTTTGCGAATGGAGAACATCTTGCACGTTCTCTTTAAAGGCCCGGACGTCTTCTGGTGGGAATCTTCCTGATGAAATCGACCAATTAGGCTGGATCCAAACTGGATCCATGTAGAAAAAGCCATCTAAAATGCTGGGTTTTGCCATCAAATATGAGGGTTCAACATGACTTTACCCCAGGGGAGCCGCAGCACCACAACACCACCTTGCCAGATCATTTGGTGGTTCACCCTGATGGGTGAGTTCACCCCAGCTGATTCAGTAGGATAGGCTAGGGATGAGTAGGAACAATGTCCAGTTTCAGTTCCTATGATGAACCCACCTCTGGGTCCATGTTCAATCCCAAAGCTAGGATGGATAGATAGATAGATAGATAGATCTTTACTTCCGGTTCATGTTTTACATATGCCCTAAAGATTTCTTAGGATGTTCGCAATTCCATGGACCCATGTAAAACAAACAGTTTTGGCCCCTTACCAGTTATAAGTGAGTTATAACATGTTATAACCCCATGGAATAAGAACCACATAGCCATTGACCATCTTTGACTGAAGGGCGCTGAACAGCTTTGACTTGGGTAGCCATTGAACCCAGAGTCCTTCCACAAAGGTGTTGCAAACCTGTCATGGAAGATACAGGCAATCTAATGGTTGTTTTCTCAGACTTACATGATCTTACATGCACTTACTCATCTACTTCTCCACTGCACCAGCAAAAGGTTGCAAGGTTGGGACTGTTAATTCATCTTTTGCGTGACCAAAACCGCCCATGGATTTGATCAGACCGAAAGCCTGGCCGCAGCCGGCGCGGTGAAACAAGTTTGCCTATAGTCAAATTAGTTTCCTTCTTGACATCTCAGCGCGCTTTCTGCGCGTCTCTGTTCCAGGCGAGCATGGTGCCGTAGCTGGTTACTGGCTTTCTGCTGATTTTGGCCAGCCCACCAGCTGGTTCTGCACTCCTTCCGGCCTGAAGGTGGAAGGGTTGCGGCTGTCTTCCGCACATCTGGATCCTGCCAGAATTTCTCCATTGCAGACTCCTCTGCCTCGTTCTTGGTTCCGCAAATCTCACCAACGAAGCACTTGGTGGGACCTTCCTTTGGCCAAATTTTCTCGCAACAACGGCTGTCTAGTGTCATTGTGCTTTGCCACCCACCTTCAACCTCCGGGTTCTTGAAGCTCGCTGAAGCAGGCTCGTTTGGTTTTGGTCGGACAAGGCGCCTCAGCGACGAATGCACGGGCAGTTTGGGATCCAAAGATCTCCGTAGGCCTTTTAATATTCATCCAATTTGTAATCCTAAGTCAAATTCATTCTTTGTTTGTTTGGAGGAGATCACACAGAAACAATGTTAAAACAGGGCCAAGGACCTCAGGAAGTTGTTGATAGCGTTCTTTTCGGTTTTATTTTTTTGCCGGTCGAAACCGTACTGTGCCGTTTTTGAACTCGTGGATTCAAACGAAGTCCAGCTCGAAATGCAGCAGTGGATCTCGACAGAAGAAGCCACGACGATCTCAAAGCAGGACCGCAGACAGGAAACCTTTGCCAAGGTTTCCTGTCTGCGGTCCTGCTTCGAGATCGTCGTGGCTTCCTCTGTCGAGATCCACTGCTGCAATTTCGAGCTGGACTTCGTTCTGACTGACGTTTCAATCCACCTTGTCCTGCTGATCTCGCTCGGGTGCTTCCCACTGTTTCTTCAGCATGGCCCCTCATCTGCAAATTACCTGTTTTTTCCAACTCCAACTGGCAGGTTTCTTTGTGCTTGAACCAAACTACCCTGGTCGGGCAATCATGGACGACAATTTCGTGAAAGTAAGCGGAATGAAAAGTCTTGCTGTAAACAGCCTTCTAAATGATATGTATATGGAATATTATATATGTATAATATGTATGTATACAGTAATATACGTATATGTATGCATACACTATATACATATCATACGTGGTATATCATGTATCAAAAATCATGTATCACATAGTGTTTTCTACAATATATCTTGTATTGTGGACTATACATGTTATCGCTCATATAGTTTACATTGGTTGTTGTACATCACATGTCATATCATAGAATATCATAGCATATCATATCGTATCATATCAGAACAGATCAGAACAGATTATATCATATCAGATCATATCATATAATATCAGATCATATCATACAGTAGATGGACAAAATGTTCAAACCCTGCAACACACACTATGTTGAACCCCCGCACCCCCAAATCTCAATGTTTCAGCGCGCATGTTAAAAAAAGTTATGTTAGAGTTAGGGGGTTGATTTCTTACGTCCATTGGGGCTAACGCACTTCAGGTTACATTGGTACTGAACTTTCGGGGCGAGGGGGTTGTACCTGAAAGAATGAGTTTGGATATTTCGTCCATCTACAGCAGGAAATACTAGGAATATGAATGGACCAATGGATATTAGATCTCCAAACATTAAAAACTGTTCCAAAACTCCGAAAACCGAACACCAAAACCCACCCCTTTCTTTTCTTTTCAGATGTTTGCCCTAAGCTTGGCGCCGAGCTGTCTGCAGCTAACTGCAGTTTCTTCAGAAGCGAAATATACAAGACATGACGAACATATAAGGGATAGCCTCCAAAACCAAATAGATAAACCAAAAAAAAATGTTGAAGATTCTGAACACATCCCCAGGATAATTTCAAACAACTGACCCAAAGAATGTTGCGCCTCCACGACAAAAATCAGTACAGGACGTGTCAACCATGATTTGTTTCTATGGGGATGCCTCTGGTGCAGAAACTGTGCACTCCACATAGATGAATGACGGAAGAAAATCCAAAATTGCCTACCCGTGACCCGTGAAAGGCTGCTTTGAGCTCCAACGACATTAATGTGCAATGCACTAGAACTCATTTAAGCATGTCTATATGCATTCGCACTAATGAATACAATATGTATATATATATATATACATATATATATATATACATACATTATATTATGTCTATTGACTGCTATGTTTCAAACACTTTCAGGCCATCACTGAGCATCCACAGCACAACAAATACACAAGGAAGTGGCGGCCAATAGCCATGGATTGTGGACGCCATTTGATTACTGCCGTATGGAAGAAGTCTTAGGGCAACCATGGGAAACCCCTGTCTCGCACTATCCCCATGAAAATAGTCATTCAATCCACATACTAAAACATCATGTCTATAGTCTATAGTATAAACGAAATCCTATTAAATCTCATTTTGGTGGCCTTTAAATCACAATCGTCTATGGGACTCAAATGCCCTTTTCTCCATGCAAAATGTCACTATCAAATATATAGATATTAGATATGTATGTATATATATATATAGATAGATAATGGACATGGGTTAGTCGACAAATAACCGCAAATCCACTGGTTGATCTCGCCATAACTTGTAATTTGGGATATCTCCAATGTTCATAAATAATACAGTATATATATATAGTGGTGTATGCTTCCTTTATGTCACCATATGTTTTATGGATTGTAAATTTCCCTACCATCTGGTAAATCATCTATGCGCCATGGCTTCCATAGCAAACTGTTGGTTTACTGGAGAGTAAATGGATCAAGTCATATCAGGTTGGTGATAATAGGTTGGTTGGTTCTATCCCATTTCATCCTATTTGCATTGTCATGCCCCTATAGTTCCCTTTGAAAAATCCATGTATTGCCTGCATTAGTAACAGTATATACAGTACATATACCGTATACCTATAAATTTGATCATCAATAGTAACTATCCATAGATTGCAAGTTACTACTGGTATTTCCGTACGGCTTTGGGTCAAGCTTGGGCATCCCAATAATTAGATGGTCAATACTAAACATGAATCCTAAATTCTGTGGTCCCTTGAGTCTTAAGTTTTGACCCATCCCATCAGGGCTACCCCCAAATCATCAATTTTTCTTGGTATTTTCCAGAAACCATCCATTCGGGGTACCCCCATTTTCTGGAAACCCCCATATTCCATCTGCCATGGACCACCTCTCTGGTACCACTGGCGCCACTGGGCCGGGCGGCGGAGGAGGAACCGGCGCCTCGTTACGGCTGAGAGGCGGCGGGGCCGGTCAATGACTCATGATGACTATACTCATAGGGATAAGACTCCCAATCAACTCCAAGTTTACCTCAGGTAAAAATAATATCAAATAATCAAAATATCCAGCGATTAGTTTAAGGTTTTATCCCAAGAAAATAAAACATGATCTGATCGATGCCCCAGGGCCCCCAGGCCGCCATGGCGGTGACGTCGGAAGAAAATCACAGGAGTTTCCCCGAAATCGGCGGAAGAACCAAGAGACTGTGTCTGAAAATTGTTTGTTGATATGTTTGTTTACTCCAATTCATTCTTTTTGAAAAAAATGAACATTATATAGGTTCGAAAAACCACATGAAATAAGGTTGCCAATTTACCAACAAAAGAAGAGAAAGCCATCTTGAAGGGACTTTGGTGCTGATTTCCCAATTTGACGAATTAGTGCAAAGCTCGTCATGCTGGTATATGCTAGTGGGAGTAGCTAGGGGGAGATGGTGATCCCTCGATCAGATTCAACTCAGGAATCCTCCGAAAACCCGCACCATTGGGAGGCTGGGAGGCTACAATAGCCCTGCTTCATCAGCATTCCAACTGAACGATCCATCAGCATTCCAAACAGAAAACACAGACAGCCGTCTTGAGGCCTTCCTCTGGTTGTCGAGCCCATATCCATCGATTAGAGTCATTATCGATTGTTTTTACCCAAGGAACCTGCAAAGTCACAAACATGTTTTATGAAATCACCAACGGCCATGGTTGCGCTTGTGCTTCAGCGTTTGAGCCAATGGCCTTGCCGGAAAGGTCGGTATTTTACGGTGGCAGACGAATGGCCAGGGGATTGGAGAGATTGATCCTTCACACAGAGTCTTTTCTATAGATTCTATAGATGATTTCAGGGCACTTGGCCATCTAAAGCACTGTGCTTGTGAAACCTTGGTTCACCATTTGGGAATTTCTGACCCCATAGCCCCATACCTCCAGCTCCCTCATCTAGATGATGCCAAACGACTGAAGAGACTGGTGGATTTTGTTCAACCAACTTTAAAGTATCCAAAGTTGGGGACTCATTGCAAGTACATCGGCACAACTTCGTTCAGTGATCTTCAATGATGTTCAGTGAACAAATTGGACTTGCCATGCCTGATATTTGATTCGCTGTGCTTCACTCCACATCCTGGGCTTTTTGACCCGTGCAGCGCCCGGGGAGCCATCTCAAAGAAATCAATATCTGTCTGTGGTGGCGTCTGTCTGTGGTGCCACGTGGCGCCACCATCACCAAGTGAAACGTAGAGATTGGTCACCTCCTCAGGACAAGGGTCATCCATCTGATGCTTTGGTGGTTTCAACCCCTCTGAAAAATATTAGTCAGTTGGGGTTATTATTCCCAATATATGGAAAAAAATGTTCCAAACCACCAACCAGATTTGATGCTTTGTAGTTCAGCCGGGGTGTGGACTTGTCCCATTTGATCAACAGAGAATTGGGGGGCAGTGTCTCTAGCAACCCTCGTTACAACCGAGAAAGTAAACACAGTGACACATCCTGCCATCCAAGGCCAAGGACTCAAGGGCAGTGCAGATATAAGCATCAAGAGGGATCAAATTAACCCAAATGGCAAGCCAAAGGTGCAATGCGTCTTTTGTATAATGGTATGTTCCCGTTGCACTGGCTCACAATCATGACTATGTTCCCAAACATAGAATAAAAATCCCTCCAACATAGACCCTCCTATGGAAATGGAAGACCAATATCTTCTAGACTGGGCAATGTGCCATTCTCAGGGTCTATGTTGGGAGATCGGTAATTAATTGCTCCACAAGTTGGGATCTAAGTCCTAGTACAAATATGGTTATATATGTAGCTATGTACAATATATATATATATATATCATAAATATATATATATAACCTAAATATATATACTATATATATATATATCATAAATATATAAATATATACATGTATATATATAATTAGAAATTAATTAGATATTATATATGTATATATATAATAGATCTAGATAAATGTCTCCAGGTACAAGCGGAATTGCACCCCCTGGTATAACCCGAATAATCTACCACTTGGTATTTTGGGCATTTCCTTTTTAGGACAAGCCGTGACGAACCCCGGGCCACTGGGGCCCCGGCCGAATTGTGCGGCTTTGCGAATGGAGAACATCTTGCACGTTCTCTTTAAAGGCCCGGACGTCTTCTGGTGGGAATCTTCCTGATGAAATCGACCAATTAGGCTGGATCCAAACTGGATCCACGTAGAAAAAGCCATCTAAAATGCTGGGTTTTGCCATCAAATATGGGGTTCAACATGACTTTACGCCAGGGGAGCCGCGGCACCACAACACCACCGTGCCAGATCATTTGGTGGTTCACCCTGATGGGTGAGTTCACCCCAGCTGATTCAGTAGGATAGGGTAGGGATGAGTAGGAACAATGTCCAGTTTCAGTTCCTATGATGAACCCACCTCTGGGTCCATGTTCAATCCCAAAGCTAGGATGGATGGATGGATGGATGGATGGATAGATAGATAGATAGATAGGATAGGATAGGATAGGATAAGATCAGATAGGATAAGATAAGATAAGATAAGATAAGGTATGATAAGATTAGATTAGATTAGATTAGATTAGATAAAATTAGATAAGA